CAGTAGATGAACAACACATTGTGTACTCATAAAATAAAACCTAGAGATAGGTTCAAATAACACTTTCAGCACTTTTTACAACCTGCTACAGGCAGGAGTTATGTTTTTTTCTCCCAATTAAGTTTTAACACTCTCTTAGCTATGGGGCTGTGCAAGCTCCCCAGAATTTAACACCAAAAGGTAGTTTTCCTCATCATGGTTATTAGACATGATAAATACAAGGGTTCTTTTGGTGCACCTTTCATTTCTACATTACAAGCTGATTTACAAATCCAGCTGACCAACCTTCTTCAGTGCTGTTGCACCAGTGTCAGAACTCAGATGCTGAAATATTGAACACCTGAGCTTGCTCCCGGTGAGGTTCTTTGCCACTGAGTTCAACAACAACACTCTCAGCCTGTAAGTGACTTGGCCTGAGGTCACACAGAAATCAATGACTTAGTCAGAAAAAAGAACACATCTCCTGCTGCTCAATGTAATTTCTTCTGCACAGAGACGCACTGCCGGAGAAGTACAATGCTCTGTCACAGGACTTGTCCCAAGGATTCTGCTCAATTCGACAGGATACTTAACAAAAACCTAAGAAAACTCTCACTGTCTACTAAATTCTATAGGGTTTTGCCTAAGGAAAATTAAAGACATCTTTTTCCCAAGCTGTCTCATATACACACACGACTATAAAACAAGCAACGCAAGCTTGCTTGCTCTTTGAAAGGCAGCAGCTGTGTTGTTCCAAAAATCCCCCCTGAATGTAAACATATTAGCACTGTATAAACAGCTTGATTTAATAAGAAATGCGATACAATATTCCCACTTTGTCTTYGGGATCACGATGTTGATGGTGGCAATAATTCAAGGTGAATTATGGTATCTGTTCAAAAGAAAGAAAAAGAAAACTCTCTAGCTATAGTCGTGAATTAATTTCTTCCTCTTAGCTGAAAATGAGAAATGGCTATAATTTAGTTCCCATTTAAAAGTTGCTGTTGGCTAAACTCTAAAATCTTAATTGCTTCTTAATATTCTCTGCTTATTTTTTCCCTTTGAAACCACAGTCTATAGGACTGTAGTGTTCGGATTAAAAATCAGAATGAACAACAAACAGTAGAAGGTCACCACTCCCTCCTAAAATATGTTATTTTCCCCCAAAATGACAGAACTTAGTGTGTATCGAGGTATTTCAGTTSATTTCCTGACTCTAGTCACCCTCTGCACCTCTGTGAAGAGGAAARTGACACAGACCCTGGGTTTACCCCAAGTGTCAATACACAGGACTCATTCAATTTGCAACAGAATATAGTAGAAGTTGTAGCAAAGACATGTTTCAAACCATATTACAGCTCAGCATACTATAGGAACTCATCTCGTTGCAAAAAATCTGAAGTCACACTCAATCCCTAAATAGTTTGGAGGTCACTACCAAACACACTTTGCAGTTCTAGGAGCTCGTAGAAAAGGCTGTGAGAGTAACAGTGGCAAAGGCTGCAGACAATCCAAGTCAGATTTTAACCTGACCTTGAAGATCTGCAGATGGATCTCATGATACTGAGTCTGGGTAGAAAATCACAGATGCAAAACAAATGCCCAGAAATGCAAAAATAATGTGTTTGGGAGACACCTCACCATGCCCACGTTTTAACGGGCTCTAGACGAGCTAGCAGTACTCCAGTGAAGATCCTAAAATCCCAGTGAACAGTTCTCAGAAATACTCAGTACTTCTCCCTGCAGCACACYGCTGTATTAAGGAAAGTATTAAAGGAAAGGAAAGCAGAAAAAGAAGCACCATTGTGCAAAAGTGAATGGTGAATCCCTATGGACAGCAAAAAAAAGGGTCTGGTCTCCTCACCTTTACTGTCTGCTAAGACACAAATTCTCAACTTGATGCTAAAAGAAATCAGTTTAAGCACTAGAGGTCCTGGGAGCAACAGTCCCCTTCATCATGCTCGTGACAGCTCAAGGATCAGCCAGGCCAGCTTCTTCTCAAGAGGAATCAAAGGTGCTCAGAAGCAAACTGGAACCAATCATCATTGTCCCTCCTGCCCCGGGAGCCCAACTACTGACCAGCCCCAGCGGATGTTGTGGCTCTGGTCACCCTCTGATTGTGCTCTCCTCATTTTTCTGTGATAAAAGGCAGCACAATTTTTGCAGCTTCATTATGCTGACCTAGTTTATCTTYCACTCTGCCAACTTAAAATCACACAGCCCTCTGCAGCAGTGTCATTAAAAGTACTGAATCCAGGAAACTTTAGTAGAAAGATAATTCAGAGCTCTGCTTGCCTGCAAGTTCCCATCCCTTTTCGTTATTGAGATGACCACCACATGAAAAAGATGGAAGTGACCCTTTTTCTCTCCAACATGAGTCATATTCTTTCACCATTTGTCCAGGATCCACATGAAAAAGGAACTGAGAACAGCAAATTACCTCTGCAAATAAGTGAGTCTCGTTCAGAAATGGCACAGATCATTTCCAAATATATTCAATTACAAGGAGTCTCTAATGAACACAGCATGGAAGCTCAGCAGATGAAAAAAGGAAATTTCATCAAACAATGACTGTTTCTATCACTCTCCTTTTCAAATGAAGAGAACAGAAAATGAAGCTTCCCTATAACAAGTCTTCTTCACAAAACTTACTTCTTTGCCATATCATGCACAAAAAGACCAAACAAAGATAAATGGCTTGCCAAACCTTCACAAGCAGCTTCTTTAACTCCTTAGTTTGCTCCCTGGATAATAGGGCACTGATGCCATGGAAAAAAGCAGAAGGCTTCTCTCTGCTTCATTGTTCTGCTTATGTCACCTCTGGTCTCAAATCATCTAATGCCACAAATGCTCAAAAATGGAAAAGTGAAAATATCATTTGTTTTACGCTCAAAATGCATTGCCAAAGGGCAACTATGTCTCTTCTGCTTTTTCTAGTTCTCTGGGTTTCGTTTTGTAATGCTTTTTCTCAAACCAAAACAAAGAACTGCTGAAAAGCCCCCTTGGTCCAGCATGCCTGTCCCCTTGAGGGKTATCCTTTCACCATAAGTGTTTCTCTGCTGTGCACTTCAATACCATGTTTCCTTTTCTGAAATATCTGCCTCAAACTCATTTTCATGCCATTTCCTTTGATGGTGTTATTCAGCAAATTATTCCATATGTTGCCCATTACATCCTAAGCTAAGTATTTTTTCCTGAAAATCCAAATTACTGTTCCTTTCAAACTTCTGAATTAGAGTCTGCAGTGCTTCAGAATCTTTTTTTTCCTTACTTCGAAACACTTGCAGAGATAAACATTTTATTTTTTCCTGTGGAAAGGCAATCACACTGAAAAGGGCACATGAAATGCTGTGCTGCTGCTTCAATGACATGGTCTGCACAATGTGGAATGTTACTGGCGATGATTTGTGTTCCAGTTGCTTGTTGATTTATGCAAAAACACACATTTGCTTCTTTAAGAACTCTCTGTATTTGTTAAGAATCCTCAGAACTAGACACAGATTATTTTGAAGCTAGTACRTATGTGCTCTCAGGTTTGTTCCTCTATTTCTTGCTTCCTATTTGACTGCTACATGACATAATTTCCAGGTCTATATTAATTTTTAATCTCCACCAACTTTAATATCTTCTCAGTGGTGGTATTGTTGCTCTTTGAACAAATTAAACACAAATTTTGCAATTATTTTTCTCGATCCATTAGTGAAATGGCAAAGAAAYTGAAATGTTTTGCAAGCAATGAGAGGTATCAACATTCTTCTAGATAACAGCTGTTAGCATCGTATTTCAAAACCTTTCCTCCTTAGAAGAGCATTTTGTATCAACACTAGATAAATGCTACTAACCCTTCATGCCAGTGTTTTGAGATATACCACACCCTTCCAGGACTTGCCTGCTGTGAATGCCACCAAGTTTAGTACTTCAAATAAAGACAATGTATATTGAAAAACAGAACAATACAATAGGATCTTTAGAACCTTTCCAATTTCAGATTTTGTGCATACATCATTGTAATTTTATTCGCTGTCTTACTGTAATGATGTTAATTGCTTGCAAATGTTAATAGAAATGATTTTCACAAGACTATTGTCATCTACTTATTAATTCTTTCAAATGTTCTCAGCCTCAACAATGGGCCAATTAATTGTCAGCAAAATGGTTGTACTGAAAAATAGCTTGGTACTTTTTTAATGGATTCTGCAAATATAATGATCAATGGGCTGGTATTTCTCATTAAAGCTACTTTCCTCTGTCCCATCTAATCAGATTTTGAAATAGTTCCTAAATACCTTGTACGTGGTTAATCCCTGGTTAATTTTAATTTCCAGACAAATGAGGTGCCTCTGGGTTCTGGTTCTGACACAAGTAGGTGCTGCAGGTTTTAGTTTGCTCTAAATCAAATGGAGAGGGATTTTTTTATGGTAATCCTGTTCTCCACCATAGAACCAATGTCACCAATCGACATTGTGCTTTGATGTGAATGACAGCGTCTCTTTGTGAGAGCAATATTTACTTTCAAGACCTTGCAGGCTGCACTTGTGAACTCTTCACCAATGCTAAAGAACCCTGACTCGGAGCATTGCTGCGGAATTTGAAACACGCTCACTCCACCTTCTTGAAGTACAGTCAAAGGAAGGACAGAACTGCTTAAGATTACACAGGAGGTTTGTGGCAGGGACAACCATGAAACTAAGGCCAGTCTCACTGGGATTTTCTCCCAGAAACACCTTTCCTGAAGGCCAAGRCAAAGACAACTTTTAACAGCCATTTCAGAAGGACTAACTGTGAGAATATTTGTCGCCATTACAGCTGGCTCGACCATTGGTAGACCTCATTTTCAYGACACAAAAATCAGTATTTAAGACAGATGAATAGTTAACCAACAAAGCTGTTCTAGCATCCAGAGCTACAACTACCACTATAAGTCCCTATAAAATAACAAAAACACAAGACCACATTGTAAACACCACCTAGAATGTGTTTCAAATCAYAATCACTCTCCAGTGATAAGGAAACAGGCTCACCTCCAGTAGACAAGCACAGCGATGAGAAGAATGAGGCACACGAAGGTCARTGCTGAGACCACAATGAGTGGGATGATCCATTCCATTTTACCAGGAGAAGGTCTCGTGGCCATGCTGGAGCTATTCTTGCCAGCTGTGTGTTAAAACACATGACAAAACCAATCACTGGGTGGAAAAAAGAATTACCGTACGRAAAAATGTGTAAACAAAACAAAGAGCTTATCCCTTTTACATGGTATGAGTAAACAGAGCAGAGATCCTCTAACTGCAGGGTGGGACTCCATTTGTCTTCAGTCTGAGACATGAGAGCACAGAAGTATGGTGTTTATTGCCACATATGGCTTGGATTTTACTACTGCCTGTAATTATGGTCTCATAGACACTTTYAGGACTCTGTCGTGCAAGCACCTATTATCAGAGGTGTAGTAACCCAGTGAGCCATTTCACCAGGGTAACTGAGTAAATGCTGTGCTCCGTCATCAGTGTTTGCAGATAAATGCACTMTGTTTCTCAACAGTGCAGGACAGCCCTGTTTGCAAAGCTCAGTGYAATACTTTGCTTCAGAAATAAATTTCTTGGTAACTATCTTAAAATAAAAAAATCCTCAACATGTTGGGTGTCATGTCACATCATTTGCAGAATTGTCACAATCTGGTGGKTTACTGCATATGAAAGCACTTTTTAGCATATGGATTGTCAAGATGGGTGGATGAATGAATGGATAGGATGTGTTGTAACCGACAGAAGAAATCATTATGCCACAGCTTTTGAACAAAATTAAAGTTCATCAATACCCTGAGATCTGGCTGAGTTAACTCCGCTTCACTTTTTGTATGACATCTCATTAAAATTATTGTATCCTACATAAGATGAATATCTAGAGGTTCTGTAAGTACTGGAGCCAATGAGCATAGACACTGCACCAATGCATTTCAAAAGACACCTAATTTGTGCAAATTCATGGAGACTTGACGAATAAATTGGTTTAGACAGACTGATAAAAGAAAAATGCAGAAGCGGATTCCATATCTTATTCATGTTTCCTAACAAACAGGCAGTAGTTGATCAATACCTGTCAACAGGATGTAATGGGAAAGGATTAGTATAAACAGCTTCAGATTTCAACGAGGATTGAAACATGCACACTTGACTTCTACTTTTAAGCCTATGTGAGTCTTTCCTTACCAAMATGCTTCCTTGCCCTCGTTCAGTATTGTATTATCATATCTTCTGAAACTGCTGCAAATCCTACCAGAAGAACATAATTGCCTTCACCATAGGCAGGCAAAACACRGATAATTGGAAGTCACCAGATGTCACATAATATGAAGTCATACTCTATTTTAATAGCATTTAGATTATACTCCTCYGTAGGCAGGAGTAAAATTCAACTAACGTGGAAGTAAAGGTTAATTGTAAATGCTTTTGCCTGACTGCTGAAAACAGAGCAAGGCTGGAGGCTGCTGCAAGCCCAGCAAGAAATCTTCCTAGTTTTAAGAACTAGGCTGATAGAGGTAATGCCCTTTAGCAAGCAGCCTAAATGAGGTGCTAATCAGAGGGATGTTTGGGGGAAGTGAACGTGCACTTTGATTGAACATCTTTGATTTCCTTGACTAGCAAAGAATAAGGAAAAAGAGCAACCCCCAAATTAGAGCAAAGGCTTATTCTCTGTATTTGCCAAACTTTCAAAATGCTACGTCTTGAGGCATCAGTTATTTCCAGTGCATTTCAAATCATTTAAAAGCATGAAAAAAGTAAGCCTGTGAGGTGTTATTAATCAGAACAGTAAAAGGGACAAAGTGAGAAAACCACGTGATGTAATAAAACTTTGCAGGAGGGCCTAATAGTCCCACCACCTTATAGGGGGATCCTAACATATATGGGACCCTAACATCTTAGGGTGTTGCTTCAGTTCTCTCCAAGGACAATATTCTGTTTAGTTTCACCTCCACATCTTTCAGCACAAAAAACATATGTTTCTGTTTGTATGGGAAGAAAATTAAATTCCATTGTAAGCACAGCATGGACTGGAATCCCAATGCACACTATTAAATKCTGCAGTGCTCACAGTGCTCCTCTTAGTCTGCTGTGGAGAACACACTTAGTGCCCCTGCCAATTCCCTGTACTACAGATGTGAGGAGAAGAAAGTGCTCAATAARCTGAGTGTCAGAATAGCAAATGCCATTCCCTAACGCTGATGGTTGGCCCTGAAATTCCAGTTGGGAATGCCTAAGCAGTGATGTGCTTCAGAAGAAAAGWCACAATTCCTGTGCTGCGTTTGAAGAAAAGTCTGAGGTGTTTTCCACTGTTTAAGTAATGTGTTGTGAGAGCTTAAACAAACCAGTGCCAATAAAAATTGAACTACAATGGCAGCCAGGGTCAGAGGTAGTGCAGCTGGAGAGCTGGTGTCTGTCTTGAGTGTCATGGCAGAAAAACCTAAGAAAAGCCAGGACACTGGATAACTTGAAATAAGAGTTAATGAAAACACACACACACAAAAGACAGATCTGGGCCTCTACAGTTTCCTGTWCTCATATATAATAAAATGGTATGAAATAAAAAAAAGCAGTCACCATTTCATTCTTTCTGAAGCAAGAATGTCAAGCCCTGGTAGCGTCAACAGCATATCCTTGTAACAGTGCCCACCATAAGCTGTACTTGGCGGGGGATGGGGGAAGCTTAAAAAAYGGACTAGGAAATTCCATTTTTGCTAAGAAATGTAAACAGTTTCCAGTGGCATATGCCTTCGTTGAATTAATTCAGTTTGCCTTTTACTGGCTTGGAATTCATCCCAGTAGGAAGGAATAAAAATTATTACAGCATATCTGTTTCAGGAGGTCCCACATGATACAAGCCCTGGCACTGCTAAATCTACTCCTGTGTCTGGAAAAATCCGTAACTTCTGTGAACCACCCATTCAGCAGTTCCACCCAGGCACTGGATTGATGAGCCCTGGCACASGGAGTATTGGATGGCATCGGGCAGCCAGGGAGGCTCTGGCAGTGCAATTCTTGCACAAAGGTCAAGGTAAGAAAGAGGCATTCTACAGTTCGTGAAATGCGCTTTTCTTTTTTCTGTGTATTCTTGGTAATTGGTTCCTGAGAAAAGAAACATGTTTATTTCCCTTAAGTAACACTGCTTGCTATAATAAGCAACCATAGCTGTACTATATAACCTATCTACTTTTATCATTCCTTGCCATTGCACAAACTGCCAGGACAAAGTTCTGTTTGTTGTACCATTTCAGATACCATTAACCAAAGAAAAGCCCTGCTGCTGATCTGCCTCAGACCACCCAGCCTCCTAAGAGAAAGTCAACTTGCTCACCTTTCCTTTGAGTAAATGGAGTTATGGACTTATAGAAAGGTATTAATTAATTCTGAAAAATAGTGTCGCCCATATTATTAAATTATGAAAAGGCAAACCCATGTTTTTAAAGAACTATTTCCTTCGACATAAGCTTGAGTCATTGTGCAGCTTTTACCCCATWTTTCTTTAAGGCACTCCTGCAGTAGTCACACTTTCAGGCTGTGCACTACTAAGCATGGCTTTTCACTGCTTTGTAACAGATGCCAATCATAGTTAATCCTATCCCTGAAATTCATAGTTTGCAGGCATCAAATAATTCAATTCCTTCATTTTCAACCCATTCTGCTGTTTGCTCCTGTAAATTGCCATCTCTGGAGATATTTAAAAGCTGTCTGGACACAATCCTGAGTAAAGTGCTCTGGGGAATCCTTCTAGAGCAAGGAGGCTGGAYGAGCTGACTCCAGTGGTCCTTCCCAACCTTATCCACTCTGTGATTCTGTGTGAAAATGGCTGAAGTGCCACACAAAAATACAGCTTAATAATCCTTGCTGCRTATGGACAAGAATTACACAGRTGTTTAATTATGCTAATGAGGTTAKCCCCAAAAGGCTTTTGTAACCTCAGATCCGGCAGAGACTGCTCTAAAAACCAATATTCAGTCTYTGTTAAAAGCATACATCAGGCTTGAAATTTAACCCTGCACATCATGATCTCTCTGTCTCTACAAAGCCCTCTTGTGGGAGGCTCAGCAGAGGTGGGTGAGCACTGAGGAGTGGGAGGACCTGGATGAAATCTGGATGAAGAGCCAAATCCACCTCTCTGTCCTCAGTCCCAGCTCACCACTCAGGCAAAAGCCCCAATCCCACATCTGTTACTTTGCCCAACAGCCCAGTTGTTATCTCCTTTAAAAAACAAAWGATCTGTTTAACTGTCTGGCACAACCAACCAAAATTCTGTGGGATACTATCTACTTGAGCCTGATTAAATGGAATCATCCTGGGTTTCATCTTGTCCCCTTGCTTTTCTATTTCTTTTTTCCCCTTTTTTAGTAAAGCGTAGTTTTAATTGCCATTTTTCTAATTTTCAGGTTTCAGAGTCACMGACAATGCCAAGCAGCTGTGTGTGWAACAGTTGCAGATCAAAGGTACAATTAGTCTAATGCAGGCACCAAAACAGAGAGAAGGATGATCAGGAAAATGAAAGAGGAGAATGCAAGCAAGCGTTTGGTGACAGAAGAAAATCATTAGCGTTGGCCAATACCACAGACAAGAAGAGGCCAATGCCATTTGGAAAATAATGACATGGCCTCAGGAGAGGTGTGTGTGTATGTGCGTGTGAAATAAGCACTAAAAGAAAATGAGCCTTGCTGTACTAATTGGCCTCGCACTTTCCCTGTAATTTCTCATGAGTTCCCTGTTCTCCTCTAATCATCCACACTCATGAGTACTTCCCCATTCAGTTATCTCCTTACAACTGYTAATTTGATGCTATATAATTAATTTTACAAGTGTACATTGTTATGAAACAATTTTCTACTCTTTAAAATGATTAAACTTTCTACTCACAAAAACATCTTTGAAACCTTGACAGTTTTTTTTAAAAACCTGATTTGAAAAGATGCAGAAGAGAAAAGATAAAAGATGCAGGGAGAAAAGATGCATCCAAAAATGTTTCTGCCCTCACACTGGGGCACAGTAAACTACAGGGGTGCTTTCTGCTCACTTTGGAAGTGGTCTTAACAGTCTTAGCTGTCCTGGTGCTCAGGAATCCTTCCAGACACTTCTGGCAATGCCCTCTTGTCTTCACTTGGCTKGATTTCAGGCTTACCTTGTTATGGAAAAGCTTTAAGGCCCTTTCTCACAGGAAGAGGTCTTGCTATGGCTRGGGTTTCACTGAACTCAGCTCCTGGCATGAGCTAGGTCAGGTCTGTCTGCATGAACTGCAAATTTCTGTGTTACTGTGGAGAACAATTAAGCTGAAGCAACTAGTCTTTGGTTTTGTGCTAGTCTAATTCACCAGCCTGTGTCTGTGGTAACCTAGATCCAGCCTGGAGGAAAAATCCTTCTCCTGCATTCCCAAATGTCGTCTTACAAGGGGTAGCACTTCTAGCAGGCCCCCTTCCTGACATAAAGGTGATTAGGGYAAGTGACATCTCAAACCCTATTCAGTGGGAGCACTGGCCTTTGAGGATTTCCACTTGAGGAGCAAGAAAAACAGCAGTGTTTAGAAAAAAAAACCCAGCACAACCTGTTAGGGGCTTCTCAGCTTCTGCATTGTTAATCTGATCYCTAACAAAACAGTTATGATTCACAGCATTACAGGCTGGTCAGCATTTCTGGAACAAATGTTACTAAAGATTGGATTTAGCTTTGTTTTTTAAATTGGTTCTGAGCTATAACTGAATGCACAATATCTGCATTTTTGTGCTTATCAATGGAGGGAAAAATAAATATGCAAAGATTTTTCAYAGTACTCTGGAGCAGCTTTGATGGAAAAAGAAAATTATKAAACAATCTACAGATTATCAAAACAAACAATAGTAGGAAAAAMCCCAAAAAACAACAAAGAAGYRCACTATCTCATAAAYGCCGTGGTAATACACATAATCACTCAAATAAACTYGTCTAACAAATAAATCAATCTAAATCTAAAATAAATCCATATGCAACTACTCCTTTTGCTCCTTGCAGTTTTCCTCACCAGTGCCAGGAGCTCCCCAAGCAGGAACACGTGTGGCCATTCCGCAGGGCGCATTGGGAGCACCATGAGGGACCAGCTTGCAGAGGCCYGTGCAGCAAACCCTGACCACTGCAGGCTTGGTGCACATGCACATCACCTGGGCAGGCTTCCAAGAGATTGTATTTGCTGTGTACACACGGAGGAGCTGGTACATCTATCCAGAGCTGGAGTGTAYGGGAGCACTGGCAATTCTCATCAGGACAAACAGAAAATATGTGAACTCTGCCTGGTTGAGATTTTTTTTTCCCACAGAAAAAACAGGAGGTAATCCCAGGGCAGAAGGAGCCTTGTTTTGGAATATCAGAGCATGTAGGTTTTGTGTTGAAAAAAAAACCCTGGCAATGAACCTGTACTTGGGAGAACATCTCAAAGCCCAGTAAGGGAGAATCCTGCAGATAAACTAAATTAGCTAGAAGCACATACAGCAAACTTCCCATGAAACGCCAGTTCGGCACAGCAGCTGCTCTTCCAAATTAATTTCACAGCTATAGTTCATGGCATTCACCTCCCTTTTTCTTTTCAAAAAAGTTCGAGATGTAGCATGTTGGGGGTTAACATTTTTCCAGATTTTCTCTTAAGGACCATGAATCTGTCCCAATAAAAGGATATTCCTTTCCACTCTGCTCCCCCCAGTAACAATTTGTGGGTTGGGTCTTGAGACAACCTGCCCTTCAGATGTAGCCAGACAAAATGTTGTATCTACTGGAAATCAGTAAGGAATTTGGAYTGTGTTATTTTCCAACACTTATTCTGCTAAAAATGGTTTCCCTGCMGATCACTCACCTGGGTTAATGGTGATGAATTTGTTATCTGAAGGATATTCCTCTGGAAACCTGGCCTCCTTTGGAGGTTTTCGTGTTGTCTCTGGTCTTCTTGGGATCTTGCCCAGGTACAGTTCGTCGGTGAACGCTGGTGGCACTTGGGTGGAAGGGAGCGGCTGGGGCTGAGTGTCGGCTTCGGCAAAGCTCTCCTTCTCGGCRCCTCCAGCCGTGGGGGCAACGTTTTGGTTTGGCTCTTCTCCCGATATGGTTTTATTTCCTTCTTCCTCAGCAGTCCTGTTGGGGGAAGCCACGGCCACGCCGGGCTCCGTGCTATTGCGCGCCTCCGTGGCCGCCGTCGCCTTGCTTTTCTCCTTCTTTTCAGCGTCCTTTTCTTCCTCCTCCTCATGCTCCCGCTCCCCATCCTCGCTTTCACTCTTTTCATCCTTCTCGCCCTCCTCGGCCCCCTCGCCATCCTTGGTCAGCGCCGAGTCCCGCTCGGGCCCGGAGGAGGCGGCGGTGGCCTCGGTGGTGGGCACCACGGCCCGCCCGGCCTGTTTGCTGGGGGCGGCGGCGGCGGGCGGCCGYGTGGGCCACACGCTGCTGGGGAACGACGAGATGCCCCCGCCGCTGAAACCCAGCCCTGCCAGCAAGGTGCTGGTCACCACGGAGGCCACGGTGGCCTGGCTGCCGCTGGAGGAAGGGCCCATGCCTGTGGCCATGGACACGAAGGAGAAGGGGAGCCCCGAGGAGGTCCAGGTGGAGGAGCCGGAGCTGATGGGAGCCATGTCGGCTGAGGAGGCAGGAGATGCTGTGGGCTTGAGGAGCAGAGGGAGAGAAAACACAGCAGAGAGCATCAGCAGGGGCCCACCGTGCTACCTGGGGTCATTCTCTTGCTTTTCCCTCCCTTTCCACACACGTGCCATTCTCTTAAAACCAGAGACTCAGCACCAGCTGGATGAAAGGCTGAACCAGGACAGAACACGCACAGAGCTACCAGCAAACCACTAAGAGGGGAAACCTCCGTACATTCACCACATCATCATCATCAAAACCCTCTTTATTCTTATCTTTATTTTACATTGGGACCTTCTCCACCCACGTCACCACTGACTTGTGAGTAACGTTTCCTCTCGGGGTGAGAAGAATGTGAAGAAGTTTAATGAGTTCAGCTGCATTACTCACAGTGCTTTAATCCCCAGAATACAGGAGTTTAAAAATACAGTGTTACATAAGGACTGTCCCAAAATAATGGCTGTGCTGCCAACGTGAGCATCCGTGGCTGGTGGGTCTGCTCTGACAAGGAACTCTGGCTCTTCCCACACACATTGTGAGAGCCTCAAAGGATACTATTTTTATTTCCTTAATTCACCCATCAGGATTATTCTCCTAAGGACTGGTGCTGCTGTGACTGGTGTGCTTCTAACTCTTGTTAGAACAGAACTGCAGCACGGCCAGCTGGGCACTCCTGAAGGATGTGGAGAGCACCAGRAGCCCTTCAGCAAGCCACCACCATGTCTGCCAGGACCACCAGGCTGTGGCATGTAGAGACTCAGTTTGCCACATCCACACGAATCTCCCTGGCCACCACCAGTGAACAAAAGGTGGGACTGGCACTGCCTGCTTCCCTCAGGGAGCAGAGAGGAAATAAGGAATGGCCTATGGACTTTGCATCCTCTGCAYCCTGCCAATATTATTCTAACATCAACCCACTGCACACATGTGGGTCTCTGCTGTAAATAAAACCCCTTGGTGTACACATAAAGAGCTAAGCCTTGGTATACCCATAAACAACTAGTCCTGAATTACATGTAGAGAGAGAGACTGAAATGAATTGTCTAAAGACAAGGAATAATTCTGTGGAAGAGTGGAGTCAGCAGTTCCTCTGGACAACCTGACCATTGTCCCTCTCTGAGTTACTGAAAAATGCCTCACGTTACTGAATTCATCAGGAGGAGCACCTTTAGCTGGAGAGGCATGCAGCAGATAAGAACAAGAGAGTTAAATAAGTGCTACTGAACATTGGAAAAATGTAAAATGTTTCTTTTGGAAACTGAATTTTATAACTTAACAGTATTTCTGCATCTCTCTGCAATTCCTGGGTTCAGTTAAGCCGTGTAGTTGAAATGCTGCAGCAAACCAAGAAAGGYTTTCTCACATTATTTTTGACCAGCTGCAATCACAGAGAACCTGAGATCTCAGATAAAAACCTGTGCTTTAGAGATTTCAAGCCAAAAACTTAAAATAAGCATCTAAACTTTCARATACTTATCTATCTGAATCCCTGAGGTACTGTGAGATTTACTTTTTGCTGGCATGAGCAGTCTCAAAGCTGGACTGAGTATTAAAATTTGACAGGAGATTTAAAGTATCTAGGTAGGAACCTCTATACATCATTAAACAATTATTAATCATCCAAATGCAAGCCTTATGTATGTTATTTGCTTACTAGGGAGTATATCAAACTGGATCAGAATAAAACCAGAAGCAATAAAATTACAGTAAATTCAATAGTATGTATCCAGCCCATAAATTTGACTGAACAACTCAGTACACCAAATGCCAAGAAATTTAGGTTATGGACAGTTTATATTAAATAAACTAATAAGAAGTTTTCAAAATGGAAACAGAGTTTTCCACTTTTACTGTAAATTCACAACAATTTCTGATTCTGGAATACAAAAGTTGGCTTCAGTGACTTCTTACAGTCTCACCTGAATTAAAATGTAACAAAGAGATTGTTCAGGCTTTATCCACACAATAACAGGTATCCTTAAAGCATTGGAGGAGCAAAAATGCTGTGTGTGAGGCCTTATTCTTGTTGCATACACTTCTGGTCATACAGTTAATAAAAGGAATTGAATTTATTTCCACAGTTATCAGCAGATTTTACAAATCCCCTGTAAATGGGTTTAACAGTGATTGGGGAAAATTTTTTAACACTCGATTCTCCAGTGATCAAAGCCTCTCAGAGCATAAAGCTGGAAAACCATTTCATATTAGAATTATATTTTATGCTATAAACCCTTCTGTGWCAGATCTGGACACCCCTTCCCCAGGAAAGCTGGGTCCTGCCGCACATTTCCAACACCGTGCTGCCACCTGGTGGGAATGTCCCCAAATCCCCGCTCCCCAAATCCACGACTTACCACTCCTGTCTTCACAATTCTGGTCCCCTCGAAAATTCGAGTGGTGTTAGCTGGGGAGGGAAGAAGAGCAGCGTGTGAGGGCAGGGGAGGAAGCAGAGGAAAAACTGTTAAACAATTGCTCAACACAAAATACAGGTGCAGGTCTCAGTCTGGGGCAAAGGCAACTCAGCTCTTTGGGCATTACTCACCTCACTCTGCACTTTGTCTAAACACAGATTTGCTTGTCTGGAATTACTCATGCCTGGCAATGCCAGCTTACGTGAATTGTCAGAAAACAAATTCTCTCCTTCAACTCCAAGCTGGATGAAACATCCTGACTTACACAGGAAGCAAGAGTACCTTGATGATGATAATAGCTTTTTTCTGTCCTTATGATAGTATTATTTATTGCTGTAGATCTCAACTACAACTATAATCAACATCTGAATGATGTTTTGAAAGCTCAAGTGGATTAATTTCCTAGGTTAGAGGTTGGGTACAGCCAGAGATTGGGTGCAGAGCTGTTTTTTGGGGACATGTGGAAGGAACCACATCATCTGCTCCACTGCAGATGTGTGTATCACTTCCACTGCATTGAATACTGGGCTAGAACTAGGCTAGAGTACCCAAAAGATATCCTACAAAGGTGTCAGTAATGATTTACTCCTAACAGTCATCAAACAAYTATTGTAGTCCAACTTCAAAGAAATTTTCTGTTCCATCATCAGGTAAAAGAGGTCATAATAAGCAATACACCAGTTTCTGACTTCTGTCTGGCACTTTGAGTGAAATCTAAAACACTGTGCTGAGGTACCAACAACGGAGCTATACATGAGTTGTGGCTCAGACAGGTCATMTGCCTAATCCCTGCTCTCTCTGCAGTGCTGCCAGCACTGTGCCAGGACATCACAACAGAACAAAACCATGTCCAGAGCTTGGCATCCTTCAGACACTAAGTGCTAACAGGACAGGATCAATGCCCCCACTTTTGGAAAATGCCACTGAAAAATGTCCCTTTTGTTTTGCTCTATACACAGCATCAGATTCAAGTGCCAATTCTTTGCTTCATCCTAACGATTTAAACTTCTGTCTCTCTTCTTCTTTTATTCTTCCATTACCCATTTTTGAAGTTTATGCAGCTATAAGCTAGAGTGGGAGGGAATGCTCTCATCAGAGGCAAAATGTGCCCTACTTAATAAAAATGTCATAATAAATTCCCAGGAAGGAGCAAAACTTCAGCACTTAAAAAACCCCTAGAAACATCAAGTTCTTYTACCAAATCTCAGTTTTACCAGATTTCTCCAATAAACTTAAAAGGAAATCCACGACAAAGGACAGCTTATCATCTAGTTCTTTTGATTTCCTTTAAATATGTATGTTTTGGAAATCACTGAGGTTGCGTGCATGGTAAAACCTGAATGTCTCCACATGTGGTTGTCAAGGTAGGACTGATCTCCTTYCCTCTTTACATAAAACAGACACCGATCAGACTCACATTCTGTTATAGCTGTGCCTCTGATGCATAAGCAGTCTCTGATGAATTTGTTTCAGAAAACTAGTACCATGAAAAGCTTTAAATTCTCCTAAAACCTGACAAACCCTGCCAGTGAGAGGTGAAGGCAAACCCTCCTCGCTGGAAATGGGATTCAGATTGAGTCAATGGCCACATTATGAAATTAGCATTGTCTACATGCATTCAAGTATCTTCTGAAATAACTTCACACCATATTGCACTCTGCAAAGAGAATATTAAACAAACAMAGAATAGTTCAATGAAAAAATATGTATGTGTTTTTTTTACCTTGAAAGAGCATAGTCTGGCTAAAGTCACTACGCATTTCATTTCGGCAAACTGCTTGAACTCTGAACAGATAAAGGATGTCAGGTGAGACATGGCTAATGATGGCCTTCTGTTTAAAAAAAATAGATATTATTCAGTTTTTTACCCCCACAGTACTGTCCACGATCAGTTTGAAATATATAAAGCATTGTGCTAACACAGGACATTTATGCCATGTAAGACAAGCTGTATTTCTACACAGAAATATTCAGTGGTTCCCTGGAGTGGGCAAGGCTGAAGGGGGGCACCCAGACACGGCTGACTCTGCCCATGAGACAGAAATGAACACATCCCACATCTGTTCTCATGACAGTCTTCATGCCTAAATACCTCTGCTCTCCTTACAAAAAACTTTAAACTCAAGTCATTCGCTGTTACAGCAATTATAGTAAGATATTTTTAGGTGGAGATCCATGTCCCAAACACAGGATAGCCCAGAAAAGTCACTGCACATGCAAACAGACTATTTATTTTGCAACAAATTGGCTAAGGCAATTTGATGCTGGTGTAGTGTGTAACATGATGGCTGAGCATCCTGGGCTGGGCTATCCCTGCTTCCTCCTGGACCTGAGAGCTGCTTTAGTCCTCCATCCCATCAGTGCACAGGAGCAGCTGTGTGAGTCACCTTAAATACTGTGATCTCTACAGCAAAACACTGYCTAGCTCTGATTCCAGGTGGGACAGCCCAACTGTATCTGCCAGAGCACTGAAACAAACTGCACTTYCCCACATCTAAAAATGGGTTTCTGTTCTCTTGCCCCTAAAACAGACAAAGCTGTCATTGCTTCCTTAACCTCCAAGCTCTGCTGAACAATACAGGGTCTCACTGCAATTTATTTCCAAGCTATCACTCCATCACATCCCTTGCACTTGTAATTATTTCTTTTACATAAAACAGGATGCTTTCAGGATGCCCACATCATTTTTTTGCTGATTAAGGCTCTCCTCTTTATACCTGATTAAAAAAATCTCCCTTAAGAGTGTGAAATTATGACAAGAGAGAGRTTACAATGCATCATAACCTTGGGTGCCTTTCAATGGATTCCTTTCTGATTTCATGAGGCAAATCATTCCCTAATGTGACCCAGATAACAATGTCTAGTGGGGAAATTGAAAATATAAATGGAAATGAAGTAAAAGAATCTTCATCTAAGGGAATAAGAGAAGTATTATTGTATAACTGATTGAATGGGCCCAGAGGATTGTGYATTTGAAAAAAAAATATGGTAACAGTCATTAGGAATAACACTGCACTGCTGCATTTTTCATGTGCATATACAATTACTGATTTCATTATTCTAGAGGCTTTCTTTGATTAACAATAAATGGAGGCCTTTCAAACCTGAATATGTCACTTTGATTTTATATGCAGAGAATGTTAAGGACCAGTACAATACTTGCTTCCACTTAGACAAGAATGACAAGCAGMTGAAATCCTAAATGGAGGAGATAGAGCAGTGTTTCCATCTGTGCTGGAACCGTCTTGCTCTTCTCTCTTTTTCTCACACTGCCAGATGTAGGCAGTGCTTGTACAGGGCCACTCCAAAATAATCTTCAAGCCCTGACTATGCAACTCCTGCCTCTGGCAGCATTTACTGCCAGAAACTGCTCCAAAGTCTGYAAGGGGCTGTGCACAGTGAAAAGCCTGAGCCCAGGAACAGATTTTAGGGGATCGGACTTTTCATGTGAAAATCTGTAAGTTGAGCAAGAGCCAAAAGGTATTCAGAGCCTCACCATTTCCCGAGCCAGCTGCTTCTCAGCAACACTACATGAAAAAGTGTCTGCAGATTCAGTCCTTTAAGCACTCACATAAACTATAAATTCACACTCTAGTGTTTGGGTAGTCTGTTAGGCAACGTTCAACTAATGCTGAACATTTAAAYAGCAATTCATTGTGAGCCAAACTTTGGCTTGTCTATAAAGTAACAACTGCTTTCCTTCTCTACCACCTTGTACCAAGAACATAACAATRTAAGGATAGCTTGATACATATGTCTGGGGTTGATGCTGTGCTTTTACCAGGTCCTTGTCACTATCCTTGGTGAAAGTCTTCTCCTTTTCATCTTCATTTTTAGTCCAGCTGTACGAGATCATGTAGTTCATGATTGGAGGGTGGTAAATGGTTTCTGGTTGGTTCCAGGTTACCAGYAGCGCTGTCCTGTTCACAGGCTGCACTTTCATGTTGACTGGAGGAGTGCTACAAGCTGAAAAACAGAAGGAAAAAAGATGAAGCTTTTCTATACCACCAAGAGAAAACAAAAAGGAAGAACGGTGCTTCACTCTAAGAGCTAAGTTTTTTTMTTTAATGCCCTGACCTACAGTAACAGCTTAGACTGCAATCCACTGAGACCAATGGGATTTTATACCACCTGCAGCTGCTTTCTRCTCTCCTGAGTACAGTGAATGAGAGAATCCATTCTCTGCAGGCAGGTTGCTTAGTTCTCAACTTAATTCTCAGTCCTGACATTTGCACGTACAATTTAACTTGGTGACTTAAGAGCTCTGCACTGGAACATTAAGAAATACACTGGACTTGATCCTCAGCTTCCCTCATCCATGTCTGCCTGCTGTATAAAGGGAAAATACCCCAAARTCCTCTGCTGGCCCTGGAAAGAGTTGAAATCCCTGAAAATGTGGCACTATTGGGTCAGTAAGTGCTTTCCTCTTTACCCAGTATGTTTTTGCATGAGAGAAGTTATTTTCTATTCCTCTTTCTATGTATCTTCCTTCAGAGATGCTCAGCTGTTTGTCAGTGATGCATCACCCGCACAGGGAAGAGTGCCTGGGAACAGTGGCTTTTGGTGGCCTTGGCCATCTCCTCCGAGCAGAGAGAGGAGCCCCCAGCCAGCCCTGCCTTCCTACCCTTACCTGGAACATGGGGGCACAAGTCACCTCTCAGCCACACTTGTCAGYGGGGACATCAGCACGGGGACAGCCTAACATCTGGGAAAAACCTCTGCTTCTGCTTCCAGCAGCACCAAACCCAAAATTCCGCAGGGCAGACCATGCCCAGGCACAAATCCAGCCCGGCCCCTCGAGGATGAGGCGTGCACACTCCCTGAGTGCTGAAGAAACACTTTTCATGGAGTTGCCATGGAAAGGTCCGGGTGGGGATGCACAACACTAGATGGCACTCACATGCTGTGGGAAAACTGCATCATCCCCTTCGCAGCTATGAAGAGTTTAGATTTTTTCCAAGCTTTAAAAATCACATTTAAAATACCCAATTCAGGGCAGATTCTCACATTCTCTTTCTCAATATAAACTCTGAACCARGGAAAATCACTTGCAATGATACCTAAACGTATGTGCCGTGGCAAAGGAGCTGGTCTCTTCTGCCAGGGAAAGGCAAAGTGTCACCCAGCCCATCAGGCTAACACCATTTGCAGAATTATTTTTCCCAGTACGACTTTTCCTTTTAAAGCCAACACACTGAGCTTATTTGCACTCTGCAGGTAGGTGACTGTGTGGATATTTGGCCATTATTTCACTTCTAAAGAGTCCTGGCAGCACTGAAGGGAAGAAATGTCTGTTCCTATGCCTGGACTTGCATAYTGGCCATGCAGATCTGCTGTTACATTACTGAAATAGCTACGGTTCTTAAATAAAAATGATTAAATACTTTAAACACCAATATTACCAGCACAATAGAAAAAATACCTGTCAAATGCATTTGTGCAGTTATAACTCACATTTTGTATCTAGCTAACAACACAAATTGCAGAAATATGCTTGGGAAGGAAAGATCTTTGATGTTTTTTCTTGTCGTGAGGGGTGGCAATCCTGCAGTTTTGCAGTAGGTCCCTCTGCTCAAGCCGGAAGGATGATCCAGCACAACAAACAAACCCTACAGTACTTCAAACCATTGGATAAATCTATGTGAGTTTCTATTTACAYTGAGTTGAAGGGATCAAAACAGCATTCAGAAGCCAGACCATGGCCTGCTGCCTGCAGACCCCTTCCYTCTGGCTCCCTCCTGGCTCCCCAAAGCACAGCATGAAGGTGGCCAGGACCTGGATGAGAAGGGACAGCTGAAAGCCATCGCTGTTATCACTATTTACAGAGCTTCCCAATCCTTGGTATGCCTCTCCATGCTCACCTCTTTCCGCTGAGATGGTCAGATCAATTCTCCCTGACATCACTGTTTATTGATAACTGCACCAATAAATCATAACTGCCCTCTTTGACGCCCTTTGTCATCACAGAATTACACTTCAAAATGCCAGGCCAGCCTTTATCGCTCCACCTAATCAAATCCCATCAGAGACAGGAGCCCAGGGTGAAGGACTACCCAGACCTAAAACTCTTATCCAGTCCTTGTCCTCCAGGAGGACATGCAGAGATTTATATATTTAAAGTAATCATGCATCAAATTGTTTTAGAAATAATTCAAGCAGGTAACCTTCCTGAGAGACAGAGAGATCTACCTTAATTGCAGCAGCCCTCTGAACGATGGCTAGCCAGCTGCTTTTCACACAAGGCCACCCCAGGGAGAGGGGACTGCCACATCCCCCATTTCCCCATGGTGCCACYCTCTGCAGCAGCTTGGATGCCCTTTGGAACAGCTCATGCCAGCCAGAGAAGTGGGCATTTCCCAGGGTAAATTTGAGACTCACAGGCTCAGGGTCAGGAGATCCTCCCTGACCTTGCACTCTGATCCAAGAAGGTCATGGGCACTYCTAAGCACCTGAGTGACCCCAATGACTTCCTTGAGGACAAGCCTCATTCACAGCCAGCTAAAATGAGGCTGAATTTACAATACTGCTATTTATCAGTAAATATAACAATTTTTTTGTGACTTAGTATGACTTGGTTCAATTTTCCAAGACACAGAGCAATACCTGAAGTAATTTAGTATTAACAACTCTTTTCTGCTCAGCCACATTTTTTTCAACAGCTTATGAATGGGCAGAAAAAAAAGATCTTTTTTTATAAAATKAAACATATGGTTTTATTAATTTAACTAAACCTGCTTAGGACACAATGGAATAAAGAAACATTTGATCCAATAATTCAATTTGATGATTTAATTAAAGTGATACATAATAACATAGTGAATGTCTGAAAGGCAAGGAAAGAAGTGCAGTGATTTGACCATCTATAAAACAACTGGCATTTCCCAGAGATCTAATTTTTCTTTCAATACTCTCTGTGCCTTGGATTTTTCAAAGAAGATTAGAAGAGTCACAGGCCAAAGGACCTCCACTGATTTTGCAAAATGTACAGCTGAAAAAGAGATAGAAATGCAGGAAGAGGTTGGGACAGGGAAGGGGACATTTAATCAGGACACACTAAAGAGAAACACAAACTTTTCCTTTCTTTTTTTTTTTTAACGAAAAAAAGGCTTAATAAGCAAAAAAATAAGGCTGTGAATTCATGATTTCTTGAGAAAAAAAAATCTAATCCCCACAACTAGCATCATTCCACACTGAAATAGCATCTCAGCTAATTTTAGAAAAAAATATTACTAATGCTCTGTTTTAAATTCAGACCCTGAGGGATAATAAAATTTTGCGGGGGCTTTCAGGATGTTTTGTGTGGTGTGTGCAATCCTGAGCAGATAGCTGAAGTGGCCCTGCACAGGTCTGGCAGGACACCCAAACCACTGTGTCCTGGGCTAGGAGCCCCCCATGCCAAGATTTGTGGAGGCAGAAACCCCCAGCTGGGGCCACCAGGMCAGATCTCAGAGACACTGAACAGGCAGGAGCCTTTGCAGTGCCATGGATGTGCCTCACTGCAGGCAAAGACATGCCCTGGACCTCTTGGGGGGAAAAAACCACCCTCCCCTTCCTGTCAGGGATGAGCTGAACTGGGAGAAGCTGGCAAACAAGCTGGCTCCTGCCTTCTGGAAAAATCCTGAGGAATCAGGAGCATTGCAGGGGAGCATCTGGAGGAAGCCCCTCTGACCCGACTCAGGGCAGCCTGGGTGCCTCTCCCAGCTGCTGCCCATGCATGGGGCTGCCCAGCAGCTCCACCCAGGATTTTCTCTGCAGATCAGGGAAGGCAGGGGGAATGMAGCATCTCAGCCAGCCTCATCTTCCAGGGCTCACTCAAGCCTGCAGAAAACCTGTTTGCCACTGGCAGACGAATGCAGCATGCTGATACAGTCCTAAGCACTGGGCAGGCCAGCCATACAGCAGAGAATTATTTTCTTCATGTTAAAAACATTCCAATGGGCTGGAACAAACAAAATTAATTTAACAACTCTGCATTCATCTCTCCCATAATTTGATTTGTATGTTGTATTTGGCTACGTAACCTCCACGAGGCTTTCCTAACTGAAAGCCTGATAAAGCTTAATCCAAAAGCTCCTGGCAGCTCCATTTCAGAGAGTTGAAAGACAAAATAAGGAGCTTATTGTTTTGAAAAAATTAATTGCTGATATTAAGACACACCCATGAATGCAGAAAGGGCAYGTAAGAGAATATTACAGCTTTTAAAAATTATTATTGTTCCTTAAAAGCAGCCTACATTTCTCTTTCAAAGACAGAAATGCAACGCCAGCCAACCTTTCTGGGTTTCATCRTGCTTTTTGCATATGCTACCTGTGGTTATGAAAAGAGCTATTTAGGGAAACTCRGAGAGAGTGCAAGAACTGTATATTCAGTTATGGCTTGTATACCTTCTCCCTGTAAAACAGGTCCTCATATGATGAATCCAGTTGCACTGGGCTCAGCGGGATTTATAAAATCCTCTAAAAAYGTTCTAAGTTAGCTCGTCCATGCATAAAAATGTCACCACGTTAAAGGCAGTTATTTCTAGCTGTGCTATGCCCTCCTTTGAAAAATCCCACTCTCTCCCTCCTGCTGAATATCTCAGCAATGCAAAACTGCTGTTCCWCTCCTTGGTGCCATGGGATACACGKTGTGTGCTSAAGCCCTGACAATTTTGGGCACAGAAAAGTGACATGACGGTGAGATCCTGAATCCCTCGTGGTGACATGGGCAGGGATCTTCTGAGGCAATTCATGTATTGAAGGGGAAACATCAGCATCAGGATGAGCCCATAGCATGTTAGTGGCTCAGAGCTGCTCAGTGGTAATTAAAAGACAAGGACAAGGGTCTTGTCTTRTTTTGGGAGGCAGCTCCTGGCTGGAAGGTGAGAGGCCTCCCTTCTTTTTTCTCACTGGTCTGGATATGCAGGACGATTCGTTCAACAGGAAGAGTGGTGGGGAACAGTGTTCCTCCCTTAAAAGCAGGAGCAC